AATAAAGTTTGTTTAAAATTAAATCAAAAATAATTTTTCCCAATGTTTACATTTCTGAAATTTCTTCTACAAAAACACTTCTTTACTTATATTTATCAAAACTATATTTGTTATAAAACATACAATCAACGGGAACGGATCAATTCTATATTAATCAAATTGTCAATTAATTCAAATAAAACAATACATAAAGAAAAAAGTAATAAATCAAAGGAAGAATCTAGGTTACGGACCTCTTTTACTTATCGATTATTATAACTTTTTTTACATTTTTTACATACAGAAATGACAAGAATGCTACATGCAATAATTAATCTTAAGGGCATTTTTCTCTCTTTCATTTTCTGACGCCAGCTGCAAGCGATATAATTCGCTGCAAAAACCAAAGCTTCTTCCTCGTATTTAAGTTGCTATCTCTCTTGGATGTAAAAGCAGGGTAGAAGAGAAAGTTATATATGTGTAAGCGTCATTTCTTTTTCAACGTTGTTACAAAATCGATAACTCTTCGCCCACCGTGCAAGAAAGTTTTTCAAACGATCTCGACGAGTTGTGCCGTTCAAGTAATTCTTAACATGTTCACCAAATACGTAAGATCATTTTATTTTTCTACAATATAACTATTAATTACGTTTAGCGCAAAATTCTCAGCATTCGCGTATGTAATGTAATCGGCAAAGAGTGCGAGAAACTTTGCTGGTTAATTAAGTTCAATCTCGGGGGAATTGGCAGATTGAAAAAGTTTCGACGCACGAATCGACCTTCATTACTTATTACAGTGCAACTATGGACCCTTGTGCTTTACTCGACATTTATGTGAAGAACTCGTGGAATTTTCATTCATTCCTCAACCTTGTAACTAATTACATACACGTTGTCCAGACTGTACGTCATTTAAAGCACAACGAGAAAGAAATAATTTCTATCTTCTTTTTTTAGAGAACAGAAAAAAAGAAACGATTGCCATCCATAAATTAGGACGATGCTACGAGCGTTGATTAAAGAGGAGGAATTTAGCATTAAAGCGTGTTGTAAAGCTGATATACGAGTTCCGGGTAAGATATGAACGATTTATCGAGGCGGGTATTACAAAGTTTCACAGCGCCATTAAGGTTCTTCGTTTCTCGAAGAAGGTAGGCAGATTTGCACAAGTCCTAAACATCAAAAAACATTTTGTTCTTTAAATATTACATTTCGAGCGACAGAATTACATATGCGATATTATCAAACTTGCCGCCGTTATCAAGATTGTTTCAATTAAAGAAGATATAAAATACATATGAGTTTCATAGTTTTCCAAATAATAGTCGCAATATTTCCTTTATGTTCTCTCGATCTCGGGAAAATGACACCTGAGCGTCACGAGATATTGAGATTTACAGTGGGCGACTGCTGATATTCCTACATAATTAAACGTCAATGCTATTTACGTCAGGATATCTCCAGGACTCATTCCAAGCGCGTAATTTGAACTTTATACCCCGTCGGTCTTCCTGTAATTGCAAATACGAATGAATCTCTCAATCCCCGAGGAAATATCAAGGAATTAATGACTTATTACCACAGGGCTTGGACGCAACCTTGCTGTTACGTCTATGTTGACGTAATAACAATTAAGTAATCGGTATACATTGATTTGATCCATTACGTTATCATACGGAACTGACGTATATAAGATTACGCAATCTCATTATCGCATTAGCCATTCAATACAAGAAACTATAATGAAATCTTACACCCCCATCGCAACTGAGATTCAATTATATAATACTTGGTAGCACTATTTTTTAATAGATTTTTTTTACTGAGATACGTATTTTTTAAAACGTACTCCAATTATATATCTTAAATCTAGGATACTCGCACGAAGCTTATATTCGTAAAATAGCAACAAGGTGCCATTGTATCCGAATGTAGAGACGCAGAAAGCATCGTGCAAAGCTTTCTTTGACCGCAGGTGGTGGTTCGCACATAGTGGTATGATCTAAAAAAAAGTCTTTCTCTCTATATAGTATAAGCGATAAAACTTTCACAGTCACAATCCACCGAAGGCCATTAAACGCAATAGTCCCATTTAGATTTTTTTCTTTAAAGAACTGTTTTATTCTAAACTGTTTTATTATTTTTATCAGAAAATCACTGCAAACGAATGAACTTTAAGCTCGTGATAAACGGCTGCGCAAATACGGAATTATATTTCTATACTAATGTGCGTGTTTGAGTCATTCGCTTAATACCGAGAATCATATGCTTATGTAACGAAAGTAAATCATGCGTTCACTGTGATTGTATACGTGATTACTTGTGAACGTTGTGGCTGCGGAGAGATCATTAAACTGGATGACCCGGCTTTCACGCGCCGCCCTGAGTGCGAATAATCACTGCGATTCAATCAGAGCGGTTTATTAGATATTAGCGCGAATTTACGCAGCTCTCTGTGACAAACGACTCACATAAAACCATTATATCATCGCTACTGTATTGACGTAAGTGTAATATTGCGGACAAGAATGCACGAGGTAAAATCTATTTTAAAGAGTCGAGGTAAAATCTATTTTAATCTTTCTCAGGAAATATCGAGACATAATATGCACTTTCCTACGAGTTATTCTTATCATCTAACAAGTATATTGGAGAGAATTTAGTATAATTTCCTATTAATCAATATACGAATTTTTTTTATTAGTTATCAAACTTCGTAGTTTCACAACTCGGCACATTTTCCATGAATGCGCTTGAAACTTTCTCCGTCACAGCGGAGTTTAATCGGCGACCTTACTTCGAGACCTCCGGTTATACTCAACAACTTGATTATCACAACAATACGGAACTTCGTAGGTCGAGAGTACGACAAGGAGTACAACGAATTAAGTACGGCGTACGGCATCGAAGCGGTTAGACTTCTCGACGATCGATCGCATCGAGAGTATGCGTGAACTGTTTTACGTCAGCAAATGAAACACGATTCATGATTCTACAACAATAGTGTAAACGTCAATGGTATCTCATTCAAATATATTTAATATTTAATATTAAGGATTATTTAATATTATAAAATTAATTAAATATAAATACATATTTCACTACGTTGAATCTCATAATTTCGATAATTTTTGAAACATGATTTTAATGATTACCTTGATAAAAAATTTTTTTATCCGAACCAACGCAGATATCTTATTGCACACACAAAATTATATATTTTCGACAACAATTAACAAAAGTAACTTGTTTGTATCGTTCCTCAAAAACTAATTTGTTATAATTTTTGTTACTTTTTCACCGAATTTTGAGATCTTTGGTGTCAGTAGTAATTATAATTAATTATTATTAATTGTATAATCGCAATATAGTCAAATATATTCTCCTCTTTTAAAACTCGTTTAGGCATGTTGTATATACACGTGTATATTGAACGTGAATATTTGTATATGATTTGCCATATTTATATCCAAGCAAGACGATTCCTTTGCGCTTGTCGCATCGCCCGGTTCGGCTCACTTTGCTTTTCATAAATCTTACTTTGACAAGTTTCAAAATTTCTTCAAAAATATTAAAAAGTTAAATTAAATATTTAAAAATTTTTAAATAATACCTAATTAAAAATAAAAACCGTGTGATTTAAAACTAATTAAGAGAAATGAAAAATGCAATACTGATGATTACAAAGAAAAATTCTTTTCTTATCAAGAATAGTCTTAATATATTCCTTTTGTTTTGAATAAGCGCTTTCTCTCTCTCTCTCTCTCTCTCTCTCTCTCTCTCTCTCTCTCTCGTAAACAAGGCGCGAAGCATAGTATTACGCTCTGTCTGCGAAAGCAACGGCGAGTAAAATCCACTTTCAGTACGCGCGATGAAACTCCCGAAAGAGATAGACGCCGCAATCGCGTACCACAAACGAGACGAATCTTATTATCATGCAGAAATGGAGTCCGGATGAGCCACGGCTCGTTGTGATTCGCTTCGAGTACCGCTCGATCGACTCACGAATATCGCGAATACTGTCGAAATATATTTGCCAACGCCATCGATACACGCGTACATCATCAATTGATTTTGCTTTCCACTAGGAAAATATATTTTCCCTCTGTACAAACAAGCCTACGTATCTAACTTACGGACTGAGTTGCATGGAATAATTGAAAGATGAGGAAGGAATGGTAGAAACGTGCTTTTCCTCAGCCACTATATTGCGCAACGAAAATGAATTGCAGTACGGAGCATGATAATGAATTCAGCCTCAGCGGTCCTTTTTCTTCACAGGGATTTAATAAACTGTTCAATTACACAAATGCCTGGAGATAAATTTACACAACGTCTTCGCCATCTTCTCTCGTTGAACACGATTTCGATATTATATATCATAAATATTTGAATTAATGTAGCACATTAGGAAGAAGCTGTTTAGCAATCTAATCGTTAATCTTTATATGAATACGATAAATTATTACATTACAAAGGCAAAATGCAATGCCATCATAGTTATGGAACTCCGACTAATAAAATAATAAAAACAACTAGAATACTTAATGAAAGGTAAACAAGAAGTTAAATAAAATCAATAGAAATGTTATATATTTAGTTTTGCTTTTAAACTAAAAAATAATATCTATCGAATGTGCAAATCTAAAATATCGTTTACAAAATATTCAGGAATAGCTTTCAAAATACACGTTAAAAATATTTTAAATATCTTCAAAACTAATGCAAATTTTATTGTGTAATTAATCATAAAATTCCGAAAAATTAAGTTTTTTGTTACAATGTTTAACCTATTTTTATCATAGATTTAAAAATATATCCAAATTCGAGAGCGCCTTCTACGGTCACAGCTGGATCTCGGTGCCTAACGAATTCTATATGAATTTCTCCATGTTCAGCCGTTTTAACTACGCGCCGAATAAATTTATAATTATATTGTTAAAAATATACATAATATATATTTATTACTGTGTTTTAAATATTTTTATTAAAAATAATAGTAACAATCTTAATTACAGTTTTATAATATAATCAAAGAATATTATTTTTATATAAAAAGAAAATTTAAAAGAAAGTCTCAGTAACTTGAAATTTACTTACTGATAAAACGAGTTTTTAAAACTGCATCGTAAATTCAGTTTTAAAAGCGTTTCTTTGTCAGGCTCTCGTATATTAAATTTACGAGCTGACAAAATCTCACAATTTTCAGAGTAGGTATACTGTAAAATTAAAATACCAAATGATAGAAGAAGCTGTTACTTTTTATAAGAATATAGGTACTTTATAAGAAACATTTAATCTACATATAGTGTCATATACATATATGTGTCATACATAATCTTATAAAAATTTTTAAGAATAAATTCTTAAAAATTAAACAACATTGGTTTTAACGGTGCAACATCTTTGAGCATTTGACGAAGGATAGATTTACAAAGTACTTTTCCGAACTTTCATTTTTAACTTTCATATTTCATCCTTGTCGGAAAAAGCTGGATTTTCGCGATTGTTCTGCGATTTGTAAGAATTCGATGAATTTCTCCTAAAGTCACTATCGCTCTTAACATCTTTGCAAATAGCGTCAGGTGTGGACTTGGAAGGCGCAGTAATGACTTCAGTGAGCTGCATTGCTGTGGCAAATCTTAGCGCCTGAAATCAACAATTAATTTTATATATGTATATATGTACATATTTATATGCTTATATATCACAGTTATGTTGCAAAAGACCGCAAAACGCGCTGACATGCAGACGAAGTGCACAATCTGTAATTCATGCAAGCGGCGAGCGAGCGGCGAGCGAGCGTCGAGACGGACGTCCGGCATAATTGGATCAATCCGTGTGACGCAGCTTTGGTTCCGAGCCAATTTAATTGTCCACGCTGTCACACACAGTCCGGTCGCGCGTACGCTATTCCCGTGAAAATTAAAAATACCATGCAGAGAATTTCCGGTGCACACTACTCGAAACTACTTCTTATGATCTCGCGCAAAGACCTGATGCTTATTCTATTTGGCTTTTGGCGGTTGCCCTATCAACATATAGGCAATCTGTTCGTTAAAGTCGATCTTTGGTTATTCGTACCCTCTGGGGACCGCATTCGTATTTGCATATTCGTGCATATGGCGCTAAATGTAGTGATTTTACTCTAGACTTAAGATAATACTTTATGCGTCTTATATGTATAGATTTTAATGTAAATAAAAAAAAGACTTCGAGAAAAGGAGAAAAAGAAAATTTTGTGAATAAAATATATGGTTTCATATTTTCCTGAATTAAAGTTCAATTAATGTCGAAATTTAACATATTATTTGGCGCGTTAATAATATCTCATATTTAAATAATAAATTATTACAATACATTTATTCTTTTAATATGGTAATAAAATTGTTTTCTCTCGTATGATCGCTTGCATGTTTCATATTTATTTAGAAATTTTACAATCTAAAAATGTAATTGCCCAAAATAATATTAATTAATTTCGGATTAAAAATGTTTTTAATTACAGCGATAGGCAAAAGCAGTTCGAGGTGCATTAATGCCACAGAGCAATCAACAAATTAATGACAAACAAGATCATGTAAACACGCGGAACGCACGATGTAATTGCGTTCGCTCCTTTGATTCTGTTCTAGTTCTGGGTCTATTTAACAATCATGTGCGTACGCAGTTACCGTGTAAGCGTCTGCTTGCAACATTCAACGCGCAAATTGTTTTAACGCGTTCAATAATCGACATTTTATGTCGAAAATAATCGCTATTAAAATTAATTTAAACAAATTTTCACAAATATATCGCGCGTACAGTTTTTTTAGAAATTTTAATTTTTTAATTGCTATGACTTGCGTTGTGAGTTTTCCAGGTAATAAACCGGCCCGCCGTCATTCGTTTTTCACGGATGTCAGCTCGAATGATTCTTTCGTTTATTTGTTTATCGCAAATTACAGGACTCAAACCGCGTGGAAAGTTGTTGCGCCTGTGGCTGACACGGAAAATTCACGTCTGAACATTATATATGGGGAGTAACGGGTCGGTTCAAACGCGTGTTTACCGTATACCGTACTGCTTGTCACGAGCATCATGCGGCATAGTAATTATGTACGCGTATATCAAAATAGAGACAATGCAACATTTACCGCGCATGATTGGCAAAGCCTGCATAATGCATTGGGCAAGCCCAGCCAGCCCAGGTGCGCGTCGATTGCGCACACGTTGCATTTATATGCGGTTATCGTCAGCTTCAATACAAAGTGTCGAATACGGTATACACGCTGGCCAAATACTTTACTCTCGAACAGGTGATATTGATTTAGATAGGCTGGAAAATGTTTTACAATTTAAATTCAAAGCTTTCTCTAATCACGGTCTATGGAAATGACGTCTGGTGAATTCAATCAATCGGTAATGTCCGTCGCTGGGTCATTTAAAAGCATTCCAACGCAACGGGAGATTATTTTTTGTCTTTACAATTTCCGTAATTTCGCAAATAATTCAGAATTCATTATTTAATGGATAATTTCGTGGTCTTCCTCGGCGTGAGGGAGAACAGAATCATTAACCGTGCCGAGGACTATCGACAAATGTACTTCCGGCCTGGCGACACCTGTCTCAGTCGCGTTGCGCCCGTTTGTGGTAATCGCATCGCGAATTGCATCGACAGGAAGCGATCGAATACGGTGCAATGTAATTCGATCTACAGACAACCCCGATGCCGGGCTGGTTTCGCGCCAATTTAATTGGCCACGTCATTATGCGCCATCACCGCTGTACCTACCGGCGCGGCGGCATGATACGCCGTACCCGGCCGCCCGGGCATGAATAACGAACAAAATTGAAAGAGCGCGAGAAAAGTTGTTTGACGGATCGCAAATAGATCACGTTCGATGAACGAATATTCTATTTCTGTCAGATTTGCGTATTACCCATGATTTCGTTTTTGATTGACGCCATAATAGGATCGACGATCCTATTCACGTCACTCGGCTTTTGCTTCCCCAGCGAATTGACCTTCTCGCGTTGCGTGTCAATATGAGTATCAACTAATTCTGATGTCCGACAGCGAAGTAACGCGCGCGCGTCTGGAACTGTTCCGGTCTATTGGAATTTATATCCGGTTGCCGTCGCAGAAAGGCAAATACGACTGCAGGTATTTTCGTTCCGCTGCTCAGAGCGTATGATTGTTTATGGAATCTTACGAGAAATTTCTATAAGATCTGAATCTCCCTTATACATTTTACTTTATTTTATTCTCGTTCTCAACGTCTTTTTCAATTTAACATTATACTACTCTAAAATGAGTAGGCGATATTTTTATTTGAGCAAGTATAATAGAGTATTAAAATTATGACTTCTTTGATGAGCTATTTATAATGATTAAGATTTGAATATCTTTTTTATACTGTCATATTTCTGTCGCGAGTATCTAGTATGTAAATTACGTGTAAACATATTTATACGCCGCATGTAATTAATATAAATTTTTATAAAAGTAAATTTCCAGCAGCTATAAGTTGCATAAAAATCTGCCATTGTGATACATGCAACGGACTTACCTCGCAAATGAAAAGTAATAACTGCGCGGCGCGTCACTTTATCCGTTAAATTAATTACATTTCATAAAGGAATGATGGAGAGAGATAGATAAAATATAATTTTTACGAGGAACGTTTCAAAGTGACGCGACGGTCATGCAGAAAGCGCCTCAATATATCAATAAAAGGTTAAAGGGTGATAAAATGATGCGCGCAAACGCCGATTGTAAACGAGTACGCAATATTTTTGTATAGTAAAATAATTTTAAAATAGCTTAAATATTTTATTGCGTTATACCGCGGGCGAGCTGTTATAAAGCCTTTAACACCGCGACATGAACAAAACGAGCGAATTCTGCAAATTTTTTTCACTTTTATCACAGAGGCAACGTCTGCTTTAAAATTCATTTTAGATATAACCATAATCCTGCAAAATCGGTGATAATCAATCGAGAGAATCCCATTATTTTCCAAGGTTGACCCGAAGAGAACACCGCATCATTCGCGAGTTTTGCGTGAAAGTCAGCTTCTCCCACGGTGAGTTACTGTTTCCTAATTTCCCCCTAGGGACTCCATTAGCGAAGAGAGATGGACAGAGCGCGAGTAAAGGTGAAAGGTAACGAAAATGAGCGAAAATTTGGGAAATGTCAACCGCGCGTAACAGTAACAGTAAATTGTATATCTATTGATTTCCAATATCGATCGCGTATTTTGAATGAAGCGCGATTGTTCGTACACGTCTCGTCGGCATTTATCGGAAACGCATCTCATAATTTATGATCCTCACGTGTCGACCTCGCAGTATTACCGCGAATTCGCTCGCTGCGCGATCGCGGCTGATAGCGGCAAAAGCAGTACAATGACAACAATGCGAATTCTGGCTACTACCTTCCGCCTGTCCCTGCGAGCAGAGTACAGCACCCAGATTATGTACGATGCCATTATGATAGCGGGTACGCACACCCCAGCTATGGTGGACGCACCCCGTAGAAGCAAATGATGTAGCCCGAGTAACGTAAATGCGAGAGCCGTTCCACCCGCGATGTATCTTCCGGTACGACGACGATCCTCCTGACAACAGAAATATCGCATGCGCATATTTAATGAATGTTTAGCTACGGGCGGGCATTATCGCGACCGTTCGTTTTATATCTCGAGGTTTTCAGTGCGAGCTCAACTGATCGTTATTTGTATCCGCTATGCAGACATTGGTCTCGATGTTAAAGAAGACCATCGATATGCAAACTTTGTCATTTTTAAACATAATTTGTCTTACGATTGCAAATGCGTATAGTACAAAACAAATGATATATTATACTTGTGAAAATTATTATTATTATTTTTTAGGAGAGGAGAAGATTAAATGTTGCTTCTCGAGAAGTGCTGTTTTATTCGTTCTATTCATCTTTACTTAACTTAGCTCGAGGAAACTGTACAAAGAAAACTGGAAAAGTTGAAAAACTTTTATCGATTTCTTTATATTGATGTTCCAATCAAAAAATTCTAAAAATGCTTTCAATAGTGAAAACATTATTGAAATAAAAAATCATTTATCTTGAAACAAGTAACGTTAATTTGGATGACGAAATTTTATCCAAATAAATTTTAAATTGTTAAAGGGAACACGTTCGAACATTCTGTACCGCGTTCGCCGAGATAAACAATTAACCGGCAAGCAATGAAGCATGCGCTTCGGTTTCGGAGCAGATGTGCGAAACGAATTACGCGCGCCGCTTTAGGGGAAGACGCGTATTTAGCCTAGAATTCATTTATTTAACGCCGATTTTACGCGCGGCGTCTGCGAGCGACAAGCGTGAAGGACAATCCAAGACAAACGAAGCGCGAGCATTAAATTCTGGCGCGGGCGATTGCGTCGAAAGTGACAGGTCCATTTTCCATTCTCCCCACTGCACAATTTCTCCCGTTCTCGCGCGCGTTAATTTCGTCCTCTTTAACATGCAATGGTTCGCGTTCTGGCTCTTCTTTCTTTTTAATTAAATCGCGCAGATTCATGTAAAACCAGTCTGGCGATGCTCAAACACCTTGCTTTGCTATCGCTATTCAAATTGTATATCCGCCGGATGTGCAGATACGCCGAACACAGAATAGGATTAGGTATGTTCAACGAGCATTTTACTTCGGAAGCGCGCAAGCAGAAACGATATCATCGAGCGACCATAACGGAAACTTGCATATGCGGCTCGGTATCTAAACGTTCCGCCTCGATCGACGATTTCGCATGCGAAATCCGCCTCGTGTAACCATACGATATGATATTACGGTATATATCTCTCCCAGCAGTTACCCCACGGTTATAAGTTCAAGGCTGCGAACGATATTCTTTCGGAAAACCAACCGGTTGTGCGAAAGTATTAAGGTTGTCCCTCGACGAAGCGTCCGACGATCTATGCGGCATGGCACTGACAGTGATGTATAATTTTTTTTCCACTGTCAATCTAAAGAGCACTTTGTCACAGAGGTGATCCAGTTTGATGATACGTTTGCACTGTCTGTCGTCAAGTCATAAGATAGTCCTTACTGTTAAATTTTCATGCACGATATAAACATATCCTAGGCGAAACAAAGTAATAAGTTGAACTCTCAGAATTGTTCACCTGCTTCGAATTGAACATTTAATTTACGCAAAATGACCTATCCGTACTTTTAACGGTGCTTGGCTTGAAGAGAATGCGAGATATAATAGAAAGTTTCTCCCTTTCTAAGGGTAGCTCCAAACAGGAGAAAGCTTGAAATTCCACTGTTAAATTTGTAAATGTCATTGTATTAAGATGAGCATTGTTCGCAAGAGCGACGACGTTTAATTAAACGTTACGCGCAAAAGAGCACGTTATATATAGTCATATAATTAAAAACCGCCAATCGAGTTTATTTCTTGATGACGCTATTCTACATTTAACTGATAATTAATTACCGGAATGCTGTTATATCAATGTTAGTAAATATTATAAAAAAAAAAATTAATGGAGTTTATTATAAATAAGTATTGCACGCTATATATTCAAATTTTTATATTAAATTGTCAATTTTACATTATTTTTGATAATTTTTTATTAAAAAGCAGCATAAATTTAAACGTATAATTATGCAAAAATTGCATATCAAGCATATTTATGAAATGTCAAACTGCAGCAATTAATTAACGTTTAATGTTTTATTTCTCTCTCTTACAATGCGATTACGTTGTTGAACAAGAGTTACAACCAAAGTCCTTGGGGCTCTTTTTGCGCTAATTGTGCGGAAATTGCGAATATACCGGAATTTTATTTGTAGATTTATAAATGTTAGAAGGAAGAATTAAAGCGGCCACGTTCGCGCGCTACGCGGTGAGAGTTTAAAGCTGCGATTAATTAAACGAAAAAGGAGCCACCAAAGGGTGGCCGTTTTCCCGCTTGGAAAATATTTCGCGAGGTACGGTAATTCACAGTTAACCCAAATGAAGCGCGATAAAACCATCGTGCGTTATTACACCATAAGAATTTCAAGCGTTTTCCACTCGTTGGCGAAGATCCATCGTTTCTCTCGCACTCGCACGACAGACGCACCACGTATGTACGTATGTATGTTAATGCGAAACGTTCACGTTCGCGCGTAATGGATTAGGCAGCGAGATCCGGGAGATAATTCGGTCGCGCGATCCGCGGTATCCGATTGACTTTGCGGAAAGGCGCAGAAACGGAAAGCGTGTTCTGTTCGCCCGTGGAGAACGGATCTGTGTATCGCTGGTCGCGGCTTCGAGAGCGGCGCGGACCGCGCATTTACACCGCCGATCGGCACAATATAAACCAGGCAAGCACGTTGGCATAATAAACAAAAAACATGATGAGCACGGATACACCTACACGGACGCGTCCGCCGACGGCGAGGATAGTGTGGGTGTGCGCGCATCGAGCAACGCATTGAAAAGCACGCGGCTTTTGCCAAAATTAGATTATCTTTTCCTCGATGATTCGCGGAATCTCTCGTGGACGCTTAACGCGGCTCGCCGAAGCCACGCCGTTTCGTCAGATTGGCGATAAAAATCGTGTCGACCATAGGCGCGCTGATTCGAAGATAAGATTTAGCTGAAGACGTATGCCAACAAAATCGTGCAAATACGTAAATTTATGCAAATACGTAGGCCTTGCTCTTTTAAAGAAATTTGCAGAAAATTCCGCTTTTAGCTTTGTTTTGCGGAAATGTTCTGTTGAAAGTTCTCTATTTTTTATATAAAATCGCACCATTTTTTCGTTTAGTTTAGAGCTGGATCTGTGTACGCAAGTCTAACGATCTGCAAATATAAAATCGTTAGAGTTCAAATTTTAACAAAATAAATGATACTATAGATCGAGATTTGTTTTATGTAGAGATTCAATTGTTATTTTCTTTTTTTAGAATATGTTCCCTGAGAGATTTGACTGAGCTCGTTTCATCCTGTCAATTTACTCTAATACAATGTGAGTACGCGACTAATTGTTTTGTACTACGTAAGCCTCTCCTAAGACTTTCCGATTCTTCTGAACATATTTTTGTATCGGCCGCTTTCATTTTCTATGTTTCTTTTTTTTCTTCTTTTTTTACGTGAATGTAGTGGGCAAACATTTTTCGCGAGTTGTACGCCTACCCTTAACAGCGCACGTAAAGCGCCAATCGCACCGGGCATACCGATTGCACCATAATAGGAATAATCAAGGCGCAATCGATTCCGCTCACGTCCATTCCGGTTTTCAATCGGACGGGGTCATTTACCGAGGGAAAACAATTCTCCCGACGCATTACATTACCTTTATGCGCGATTGAACGCTGGAACGCGCGCGTCACAATGCCCGACTTTAACGGCCCTTAACTTTCTTTCGCTAATTAATTCGGATAACTATGAATTCTAGAAAAATATATATTTCGATTTGAATGTAAAACTTCAATAAACTTTGATTGGACTTCATTAACGGGAACGAGAATTATTGAAATGTATAACAGACAAGTGGTACACGTTTGTATAAAATCCCCTCGTTATATTTTTATGCGTGTTAAATTATTGATTTTTTTAAATTTCAAGTTTAACACAATATGTATACGACCGGAAAAGGACAAATGAGAGAATGTATATGTCGCTTTGATAAAAGCTTAAAATTGACCCAATTCTGCTTTTTCGCTCATTTTTTGAGAATTATACGAATTGCGCGAAAGCTATGGACAGAGAACGCGATAATTCATAATTCATAATACATACATGTACTTGAGAAATGGTATAAATTATTGGAATTCATATTAAAATTGGTTCAGTTTGCTATGTGCCTAATTGAAGAATAAATTTTTATTAAAACTCAATTTCGCGGACCGAATTGCTCCCCGGCGAAATCAAGATAAACGGAATATTCGATCCTGTGGAAACTAGAGGTAAATCTATATGGCAAACGTGATTCCGTACTTCTGATGTAATTCACGATAGATATAAAGTTTGCGTGATTCTCTGCCGACAATAAAATTGTAAGCTTCTCTATACATATCCGCGTGATTGATCGCGAAGTTTTTGACGGGCGGATGGAGATTATCTTGCATCCTTGTTGATAATTCTTGATAATTCTGCATGAGGGAAAACATGAATGACCAGCTAAGATGATGCTATTACCGTCACGATCGAGCATATCCGCAGAATTTCGAACTCGCGGCTCAAGTAGCTCGTGTAATTGCCACTTCGCTTGCCACCGGCTTGAACTTCGTTCACGAAACCCTCAAAACTTTCAAGGTGTAATTTTCACATACCGCGTAATTTTAACTTGATGCTTGCAACTACGAAGCCGCAAACTTTGCAACTGTAATTTTCGCATACCGCGTGATTCTCCACATCGATCATCCACTTATCTGCAACATGTAGAATGCAATAGACCTTGTGTCATTCAATTTATCTACATTCACAATCTCAATTTTATAATTAACAACTTGTAGATGATCTTCCTTTCTTTATTTATTTTTTTCTTCAAGAGGTGTCAACGTAGAAACAATTTTTAAATTATATACCAAATTGAAATCAAGAAAGTTTTTCATTAAACTTTAAATATTTTTCTTTCAATGTTAAATAAGTTTTTCTTTGATGAGATTTTAATTATAAATTTAATTAGTAGATATTTAAAAAATTGAATAGTTTATGATATATTTTATAGCAAGTCATGAAAAATTTTTGTTAACAAAAATTCAAATTCTATTTATGGCTCTAAGCTATTTTATGCAATACGTTCAAAGATATTGCAAACAATGTAATAAGCTTCCTGTTTGTACGAATCTTGTAATATTTAGATAGTTTGTATTGACTTTTCCATGTTTGAGAAAATATAGCATGGAGCAAACAAATCTCACGATCGTATTTCCTCGCAATATGAGAATTTTACGTTTATCCGAAGTTATCAGAAATTTTAATCTTGAAAGATTATACATATCTCTTTCGTATAAAGCTACAATAAATAACATTACAAATTTAATACGTATCTCGCATCTGTACAAACAAATGCTGTACTTTTGCAAGTGTTTGTCGTTTGCAGGTAAGTAATATACGACCGCATGTAGAAAATTTTTAATTGCACGGCTTATCTTCTTTGAAACGAGCGCTCGCCTCGACGGGCGGTGTTCTAAAGCGAATTAGAAACGTAATATCGACCAATCCGGCTTTATATAAATTATCTATTTTTGTGAAGAACGCGATTAAAAGAAAGGGAACTTGCGGAAATTGATTCACCGGAATTGTACGTCGCCCACGGAAGTACGTGCAACCGAGTTATCCCAACGGCAGTTATCTGCCGGACCGTGAACTGTGGGGGCGCAAGATAATCTCTCCCGGTCTGATAAGCATCGGAGGATAAACGAAACGTTTACTCGCCGAAAACAGGCACGTATCCTGGCTCATCGTGTAGCCGCTGTGCTTACCCGAGGACATTAACTTAAAACTGCGCGAACGTAAACGCGCGAAACGGTAAATTATGGAGTAATAGTCCCTCCCGCCTTCCCAACCTCCTCCGTAATATCAAAATACTTTATTCGAAATTATTTTAGAATGCGCGCACGAAATAAATTAAAGTAAAAAATGAAGAATTTGCACTATAGACTAATTAAACGTGGGTTATTATTTCGAGTAATCGAATCGATTATACTTGTTTACATATAATATATAAAAATAAAATATGATGGTTAACGGAATTTTGTTATTAATCAGTTAATTTGTACCGCGATTCTGATAATTTAAAAAAATAGGAACGACCGCAACAAGATCTGCTAATTCAAATAGATTACAATTTACAGTTAAACGGCAGTAAAGTTAAAAAAAAAGAAGAAAGAGTATAATAAATCGTAAAAAATCGAGAAGGATTTCTCGGAAAGGACCTCTCGGAAAGCAGCTCGCAAAGAGATGTAATAATATTTTTCGTGTATATTATGGACTATTCGCCGGTTAGTTAAACGCGCAAATAATGGCCACGAAATTTCGTTTATCTCGCGGCGGGCAATATACTAGGCGAAATTGCACGGCGCGTGCTCTTTGTCAGTTAACACATCGTAAAAACGATCTTTCCTGGCAAAATTATTCTATAAGCAGAATGTTCCCAACGACAAAATCGAAAAATTTTGGAAGTTGACAAACAATTACAATGAACGTCATTGTAATATTATAAATTCTGCAAGATTTATCACATTTTTATAAGAGTATTTTTCTTTATAAAAATAAAATTAGATATTTAAAAAGATTATTCGGCCCAGCCGCGTCATAAAATTATTAAGAATAAATATTATGTTATTATAGTTGCTTGAATTTAATATATGTAATTGAGAAATTTGGGATTAATATCTTCTTTTTGAATTAATATTATTTTATTATAAATAATGACTATGTATGTGTGTGTATGGATTATTTTGTCATATACACATAAGAGAAATAATAAAAAAAAAATTTATGTTATCTCTTATCTAATAAAGAGAGCGAGTTTAATTTAAAATTCTTGAAAATATTTTTCTAGAAATATTTTTAAAAATATTTGTATGTAAAAGGTACTATGTAATACAATTATAAATTAAGGATATAAAACTGTAATATATAAATTCTCGTATCTACTAAGAGTAACATCGTACTCTGTAAACGTGAAAACTTGCTGTACGATAGCGGTATCTCGTAGAGTAGTTTCGCAGCTACATTGTGTGCATCAGTCGATAAATATTAGACTTTAAACTTTTATTGCTCTGTAAAAGACAAATTTTATATTGACGGTTGGAATCAGATGGCAAATCATTCGCAAAACATGTAAAGTATCACTCAATTTTTATCTTTAAAGCTTGGAAAAGATCTGATAAAAATTTTATATCATCTTATATATCTACTGCAAATTAATTTGCCATTAGAAATTAAGTTTAGTTTCAATTTTAAATAAATATTCTTGCATTATTTTGCATGAGAAATTATTATTTGTTTATGTCCATTTAAAAACAAAAAAAATGATAAGTATTTATATCATCAATAATATCAAATTATATTCATACAAAAATAATAAATTCATTAAAATAATAAATATGATAGCATATAGTATAATAATTGTACAATTTTGTTTAGTATATTTAAAAATTCTAGTATTATTTCAGTAAAAGTAAAAAATTAATAAATTTATATATATCTCTAATATTCTTTTGTTTACACAAGTTCGTTGATAATCACACATTGATAAAAATCTCTCATTACGATTATT